GGGGGGCGGGACCATGCAAATTAGATCGCCCGGGTGGTGACAGAAGGCCGAGAGAGGCCGGTGGGAAAGCAGCTCCGGAGCCCCCGCCGGGTGAGGGGCAGTCAGGCTTAAAGACCCAGCTCCGCGGCCGCCTCGGTATTTGGACCCTGATGTGAGGCCGTGTGCCCGGGTGAGGGAGCACAGAGTCCTATGTCATCTCTGCGCACTGTGCACTACCCCGTCTCTTCCTGCCCAGTCCAGTGACCCCCCTCATTGGACCGGTCACCAGACTTTGGCAAGGGAGGTCTCCTGAGATGAAGGTTCTACGAGAGGACTTGCATAGGTGGGCACCCTAGAATTCAGTCGCTTCTCAGCCTGGGAAACTTGCCACTTGACCCACTGCTCCTCCCTGTTCTATCCCCTCCTGGACAGGGGGTTCCAGGGAGCACCAACTCTGATGCTCAACAAAGATGGCTGTACGGAAGCACTCAGCTCAGCATACAGCTGGTTATAAATGGCAGGACAGGACAAGAATAGTGGAAGTCCTGGCCAGGGAGAGGCCTGACGCTCTGGGGAAAAGGAAATGGGATAAGAAGCCAGCACCAGACGGTCAGAAGGTCCCCTCCGAAGGGGCTCTGCCCTCAGGTGTGACTGATGCCTTGGCCTTTCTGTTCCAGGTTCTGGATTCAGGGAGGCTGGTGCTGATTCTCCAAATCCCAGGCTAGACTCCCATACACGAATCTCCAGACCCTGACACCTCCCTACCTGGGCTGATTGGCACTCTGTCCCAGGACCCCCATCCAACACATTCTGGGTCTCAGAAGCTCAAGCCATCAGAGCTGTAGGGCAGTGAGTACAAAGGGGTGGTCCCACTACAATGGGGTACTTCTTGGTGCTTCTCTGGGAACTGAAGGGGTGGCTTGACTGAACACTAAGACGTGACAGCTGTCACCAGGATGCCAGATGCTTCAGAGATCTTATCCCTAGGAAATGTCAGTACCCTGCGTGCTAATAATTAGCTACTTCTGGGGCTGGGAAGACCCAGGTGGAAGGATGCTGTCCAGCAGCAATCCCTTAAGAGGGCCTAGCATGGCCTGCTCCTTCAGAGGCCTGGAAAGCTGCACAATGCTGAGTGCCATCATGTTCCAGATACATGACAACTTTGAAACCACCCTGTTAGCTTGATATGGTGGTTCATAGCTGTGATTCCAGCTCTCAGGAGGCTAAAGCAGGAGGATCACTGTGAGTGAGGCCAGTCTGGGCTTCATAGTGAATTCAAGTCTATCCTGAAGTACGTATTGAGATCCTGCCTGAAAAACAAACAAACAAAACCAGTTTTTTTTTTTAAAGTATAAACTTTCCCATGGCAGAGGTGGCCCTGATTCATCCCTCAGGGACCTGTCAGAACTGGGGGGGCAAACCCAGGGAAGCACCAGAGTCACTGAGCCTTCTTTTATTATCTCCAGGTCAATCCCCAGATGTATATGTAGTTGGCCTAAGGTGTGAGTATTGGGCTTCCATTGTTGCAGCCCTGGAGCCTCTAGATGTCCTACCTCCCAAAAGGCCAACTACAGAATAATTGGCCCAGGATCTCAACTGAGAGCCTCAACAAACACTGCCTACTGTCTTACAGGGTCCTACGTGATGGATCCTACATCTTCTTATCAGCTGCTGCCCAGAGCAAGCCCAACACAAGGGAGCCACAAGGAATTTGGATGCTTTGGGGGTGGGGCCTGCAAGTAAGGCATCCTGGGGGTGGAGGAATATTGATGGGGCAGGCAACCAGGAAGTGAGAAGGAGGTAGGTGAACCCAAGCAAGTGGAAGGCCCACAGAAGAGGACAACTTTGAGCTGCAGAGAAAACAAGCTTGCCTTTAAAACTCTTACACAGGGCTGGGGGTTTAGCTCAGTGATGCTCCCACCTGCTTTGCAAGCACAAGGTCTGAGTTCGATACCAGGACCAAAAATAAATAAAAAATAAAATAAAACTCTTACATAAAAATCCAGTTTTCTGTTTTCTCTTGAAAAATGGGAGATCTAGGTGCCTGACTCAGGGCTCCCTAACTCTTGCTCCTCAGCAGTCCGCCTAATCTTTGATCATTATGTCTCTTTGTTCCTCCGTTTGCCATCTGTTCCCCTACCCTCTGGAATGTAAGCTCTCTGGGCACAGGAAGCAGCTTGTCTTGGTCATTGCCATATCCCTGGCAGCTGGCTCTGGGCCTCAATAAGCAGTTATTAAATTGATGAAAGAAATACAATTTGGAAACACGGTCCTCACTTCAGGAGAACATATCGTTGCTGAGAAGGATTTAAGGCAGAATGAATGTCAGTATGCAATGAGAGCAAGACTAGTGTGATGATACAAAGAGAGCAAGGCTTTATGGAGGAGAGGGAAGACTTTCAAGGTGGAACAGGAGTCCAACAGGAGAGGAAATGGAGAAACTTACCAGTTGGAGGCAGTCAGTATGCCCAGGCTGAGTGCCAGTAGGTGGGCATCAAGGGAAGTAATCCAATTTAGGTAAGGTAGGAAAGGCCAGATTATAAGGGAAATTTGAATGTTATAGCTGGGAGTTTAGAAATTATTTTAAGAAAAGTAGGGAGCCATGTCTGGTTCCTGGGGGTGGGGGCGGCGAACACTGTGCTATAGGAATACTGATTTGAGACTGCGAGAGTACCAGGGAGAGGTACTAGGGACAGAAAAGACTTTAGGACAGATATTTTTGCAGGCCTAGAAATAAGGAAGAACAACACCATGCAGGGGCAGAGGCAGGGGCTCCAGGATAGATTAAAACATGGCAAACTCACTTCTCAGTGATGGAAGGGTCTATGCTCCTTGCCCAAGAATCTGGACAAAAGCTGTGATTTCTCTGAATAGTAGATACAGCAGACGTAACTCTGTACCCAGCTTCTTGTCTCCTGGAATAGTTAGTTGTTCTTAGAACCTGCCTGCCATGCTGGGAGAGAGCCTGCATAGCCAGGTGAAAAAACCCAGTGGAGTAGAACTGAATTCTAGGTTGGTGGATTTCCTCCCAACATTTTAAACATTTCATTCCATTCTTTAATGGTTTGTCAAGCGTTGAATGTAAATCTTAACCTCACTCCTGTATAGCCTAGGTGCTTTTCCTCTGGCTTCTTTCAGATATTTTGTCTTTAGCTGGTGGTGTGTACCTGTAATCCCAGCGCTCTGGGGGTGGGAGACAGGAAGTCAAATTCAAGCCCAATCTGGGCAGTTCAGGGAGAGCCTGACTCAAAAACATAGGGCCGAGGGGTGGAGATTTAACTCAATGGTTCTGCTGCCTGCTTTGCAAGCACAAAGTGCCTAGTTCGATCCCCAGTACCCCCCAAAAAAGGGCTGAAGACCTGGCTCAGGGCAAAGGATGTGGTACTCCCCAGAACTGAGAACCAGTGCAAAAACAACAGAAGCTCAGGTGTTTTGTCTTTGATATCCTGAACTTTGAATATGGCAGGCCTGGGTGCAGACTTTTTGGCATTCACCCTGCCTGGTGTTTTTAGAGCATCCAGGATCTGAGGTTTGTCTGACAGTGTTTGATAATTTGAAGTAGGAAGAAATGGTCCAAAGGGGAAGAGGAAGGGGGAGGGGAAGGGGAACGGAAAGAAGGGAAAGGAAAATATGTGATAAAAAGAAAAAATGGAAACAAAGTCTTTGGAAATAGGGAGGGGTGGAGAGGTTGAAGAGAGGGCAGGGAAATGGGGAAAAAAATAAGAACCAGGATATATCACGTAGAGGTACAAATTCCCAATAATGAATGTCATCATATTGTATACCTAAAATGCACCAATAAACTTAATGAATTAAAAAAAGATTGAAAACGGTATTTTATGTACCAGGACCTCCAAAACAAGCATGGGTAGTAATTTTACTCTCAGGCAAAGTAAACTTCAAGCTAAGACTCATTAGAAGAGACAAAGAAGGCACTACATACTAGTAAAGAGAATAGCCCAACAAGGAGAGCTAACACTTGTAAGTATATGTGCACTGAACAGTAGAGCAGCTATCTTCATGAAACAAATATTGCTAGACATAAAAGATCAAATAGCCTGGGGTTTGGCTCAGTGGTTGCACCACCTGCCTTGCAAGCACAAGGGCCAGAGTTTGATCCCTGGTACCAAAAAAAAAAAAAAAAAAAAAAACTCCAGGCGTGGCGCCGCATGCCTGTAATCCCAGCACTCTGGAGGCTGAGGCAGGAGGATCACTGTGAGTTCGAGACCAACCTGGGCTACACAGTGAGTTCCAGGGCAGTCTGAACTACATAGTGAGACCCTGTCTCAAAAAACAAAACAAAACAAAAATCAAATAAACACTAACACAATCGGAGCGGATGACCTCAATACCCCATTTATGCAAAGAGATCACCTAAAAAAAAAATGAACTAAAAAATCAGAGCTGAACCATACCCTTGAACATATGGACTCCTAATAACCATCTACAGATTGTTACCCCACCACAACAGATCACACATTCTTCTTAGCAGCACACAGAACTTTCTCCAAAGCAGACGTACTCGTCCACAAAGCCTGCTGAAA